AGCATCCTCCAAACATGACCTCAGCTCCACCTTGGCCACAGAAACCACCAGGAGCAGCCAAAGGAAGCAGATGTTTAGCAGATCTATGCAACCCAGAGGCAACCCCAATCTAATCTACTCCTCTAGCCCACGTGCTACGTTGCCTTCTGCCTTGGTGCTGCCCACTGGGGTGTGGAGGCACAAAGGAGAAGGGAAAAACACGTTGGTCTGGCTTGAAATACCTGGTATTTTCTGTGTTTGGCTCACGGGGACAGAGGCAGAGAAGTCGGAGGTGGGTCTTGTGGTGCTTGCTTGGGGTGGGAAGCAGAAATTCAGAGGGCAAAAGACAGTGTGTAAATTAGAGGGTGAAGCAGCACAGGGACTGGGCAGGGCCCTAATGAGAGGACTTTTCAAGTGTTGGTCTGGCTGAGCTGCCTTTACAGCAAGGAGGGGTTTGACTAATGCTTCTCAAATTCAGAAGGGAGGTTCTGCTGGAGTTTGGGGCTCTGACCCAGTCTGGGGTTATTGTCCCTCCTGCACAGACGTGTCCTCCCAGGACCTTGAGGAGATGCCTCTTTAGAGCTGTTTCCCCTGAGGTCCAAGTGAGCTACAGTCACAGCCCCCTTGGCATGTCCTGGCACTTGAGGTACATCTGGCAGGACTGGAGGGGGATGGGATGTCTCTGGTCAAGAGCAGATCAGAATTAGGCCGTGCAGGATTCCCTATGGCTAGTTAGAGACTCACAATGGACCCTTGGCATCAAACCCAGTGTGCTGCCCATGGAAGAGAGCAGGTCCCTGAGCTACTGGGTGGTCCTGAGCACCTTCTTATTTGGAGCAGCCTCTCCAGAGCCTGTCTCCATTCCCAGGCACAGCCTTCTGGGGTGGGATCTGTGCAGAAACATGGATGTGGGTTTGGGTGGGGATGAGGAGCTCCAAGCTCAGCCCTGACTGTATCAAGCAACTGGACTTTGATTGATTGATTTTGTCCCTTGCCATCAGTTAAGGAAAGCATTATGAAAAAATTTCCTCTGCCCAGGAAGCAGGTTTTGGAGAAGGAATAAATCCCAAGGTGTGTGACATCTCCCAGGTCCCCTAGAGCAGTTTGGCAGGAGACACTGTCCCTCCCCATCACCACCCAACCCCACACAGATGCCATCCTGCCCACCCCAGATGCACAACACGAGGGGCAGGGCACTGCAACTCAGCCATGAGACAGGCACCAAACACACCACCCACACCTACACAGCACTTGCAAAGAAAACAACAAAACCCAACTAAATACTAAAAAATGGACCTAAAAGGGTGCTATGGGTGAGCATGGATAAAAATCAAGTAACCCCAAGTGTGTGGTGCAGATGTAGCCATGATCTCTGTCACTGCTGGGTCACAGTGATGGTGGGAGCTCTGGGCAGGGGTGGTGGATGAACCTCCTCCTGCAGATGTGCAACATGGAGCACTTCCTAACAAGCATGAGACTTGCATTCTTTTGCCCAGGGTCACTCCAACCCCATGGAAGTTGGAGCTAAAGCCTCAGCTTCCTGATGAACTCCTCAAGCAGAGCACTTCCATGAATATATCTGTATTTGCATAAACATGCAATCAAGTTTCCTCATCCCTTTGACTGGCTTCTGGCAGCTCCCCCAGACAGACTGTTACTAACATACTGTGGGTGTAAAACGTCCTCCAGGGAAATATCAGGCCCAGAAAGCATGGCAAGGGGAGGGATGCGTGTCTAATTCCCCCATGAGAAGCTTAAAAAAAATGTCCTGCTGTTAAGTTTTATCTGCTCATTTCCAAAAGACAAGTGCAAACGCTGTCTCCTTGTTCCCGAGGGGAGGGAAGGAGGAACCCTTGGAAAAAGGACAAAAGTTTTCCTTCACGGGGTGATTTCTGGAATTAGAAAGGGTGTTTCTGGCACGTGTGGGAGCTCCAGCCCTTCAAGTTCCCTGGCTGCTCATCCAGCAGCTGCCTGGGGGTGTTGGAGAGCAGCTCTGCACTGGGAAAACTGTCCTTGAAGATGCAGCCAGCCCTGCATCCCATCCCATCCCTGCCCACAGGGATCTGCTGGGAGAGCCAGCAAGGACAGAGCCAGCTTCTCCCTGGCATTGCTTGGCAACCCCTGTGGGCTGCTCGGGTTCTCAGGGGCAGGAGGTGGCTTCTTGCTCCCTGTGAGCAGCAGCACAGAGGGTGCAGATCTCCTGGCTGCTCTAGTACAGTATGTGGAGGTTGGGCGAGAGCAGGACAGGGACAGTTACTCTCTCCTTCCAGCGAGGCAGGACTGGGTACATGGTTTAATTTGACAGTGGGACAGTAAAGCCTTCATGGCTTTCCTAGCCTGCCTTGTGATGGGAGCTGTAAGAGGGCATCTCCTGCAGTTGTGCCAGCCCTGTGCAGGACGAGCTGGCCACGTGGCTGTAGGAGGGATGGATTTGGAAAACTTTTTCTTTTTGAAAGAAACAAAGTTGACAGAAAAATGGGAAAAGTGTTGTTTTCCCTGCATCCAGTCCTGGCTTCACTTCTTGCTGCCCTGATGATAACAGAGCAACAGCAGAGTGAGATCAGCTGCTGCTGGGGGGATGACAACCTGTGGCGTGATGGTTTCTTGGCTTTCAGGTGGACCTTTCAGGCTGGCTACTGCTTATGGTGACCATCATGCTTGCTTGTGGCTCGTGTTATACGTGTCAAAGTGTCCTTGGACTAAATAGAGAAGGAAAAAAAGCCAAACAGGACTGCCCAGAGGCTGGGGAACATGAATTGAGTCGGGGTGATTTTTATCCATGTCCCTTTATCATCCTACAGATCAGGAAACCAGGGCCACCAACACGGCAGCCCCAGGAGTTCCCCACCACCCCTGGATGAGCTGGGAGGGGAAAGGAGCCAAAAAGAGGAGTCAGGCAGTGGAATCCTGGCCCTAGGAGTGAGCAGGGAGTGGGGCACCCACCTGGCTGGGTGGTGGTGGCAGGTAGAGGGGTGCTGGTGGTGGTGGTTTTGGCGGTGGTGGTTGTGGCGGTGGTGACGCGCTGCGGTCGCTCATAGGCTGGCAAGCAAAGAGAAGAGGTGGGAGGCACTTACTGGGGGGAATGGGGGGGTTCCTTGCCAGCCCCAGATGCCCGTGAGGCTGCTGCTGGGGCTGAACTGGTGACCGACTTCTCAGCGTGGTGACAACTGGGGCACCAGGAGGATTAAGGGGATGGCAGCGCGATGACGCTGGCGCAGCGAGTGTGTGTGTGTGTGTGTGTGTGCAGGGGCTGGATCAGCTTACTCTGTTGGTGCAGAGATTGGCTTAAATACTTGCAGCTCTGTCATAAACTAATTGCCAATTAAGTTGGAAAGGGGAAACAAAAGCACCCCTGGGCTGAGATGGGGTGAGGAGCAGGTGGGAGGTGCAGAGGGGTCCCCACCTGCCCTGCCGGGAGCTGGGGTCCCGCTGCCCCGTGTTCCCATGCCGGCTGCAGAGCCACCTGCCCCAGCTGTGGGGACACCCCCAGCCCTCCTGCCACCCCGTGGGTGGCCCTGTCCCTCCCACCCTGTGCCCTTGGCCTCTATGAATCCCCCCCAGCACCCTCAGGACGGGTAAGCTCAGCAAGGCCCCGTGGGGCTGAGCAGGTCTCAGCGCCACAACCGCCCCAACCAAAATGACACTCGTGACACAAATCCCTACTTAACTTACACCTCCTGCCCTCCTGTCCTTGTTTGTCCCACTGCTTCATGCAGATTATCGTGCTTAATTTCATAATAGCCCTGAGCTAGTTTAAATACTTAATTTAGGTCACTTCTAGTCTCCTGTGTGGGCTAAATAATCTCTCCTTAACTGGCCTGGGGCACAAATCCCTCCTGTCCAGCTCTTGCACGTTGCTCCCAGCACCCTCCAGCTTCTCCCTAGCAGCAAAATGGGATGGGAAACATTTTCCAGTCAAACAAAGGAACTCTCAGAATGCTGAGCTCTGTTAAGAGAAAAAAAAAGGAAAGAGTTATCAAAATGGTTTTGATCAGAAAAGCAAAGAATATTTTGGACTGTTAAAACACTTAATATTTTAAAATCCTGAATTACTTATGGGAGATTTTAATTTGGTTGCTTTTTTGTTTTGTTTGTTTGGGTTTGGTTTTGTTTGGGCTTGTTTATTTTTTTCCTTTTCTTTTTTTCTTTTTTTTTTTTTTTTTTTTAATTTTTACCATTTAAATTTAACTGGTTAAATCCTAAATATGGTTCATTTACCCAGCAAACCCGTCCCTCGCTTTTCAATTAGGTGCATTTTCTTTTTTCTAGCTGCATTTGCATTTCTCTGAAACTATTTCTTCTCCAATTCTTCCCACTTGCCTGCAAACCAAAGAATTCATTATTCATTCAGCTCTCCAATTTTACTCCTTCTGGAGGGTAATGCTGAGCTACAAAATTCAAACTCAAGCTCCTTCTTACCCAAAACTCCAGGCTCTTTGATATCAAACTACCTCCAGCTTTGTTAAATAAGGAGTCCCTATCACACCATCAATCTTTCCACAGGAATCCCAGCTGAACTCCACTGTCTTTGCTCCTGACACCTCACAGACATTTATTCCTATAGGTACACGTGTGCTTACAGATGTACACATACTCTCTACATACTTTTTTATCAATAGCCCAAGGTGACCCAGCCTGGATGCTGTGCCAAATGATTCAAACTCAGCTCCATCTCAGAGCAGGAGTCTGCAATACTTTGGGGGAAAAGTTCACAGCGAGCACTGGTGGTTTTGAAGAAGCTTTATATATATATATATAAATTTCCTTTCCAGCTGCCATTCTAATGAACCTCATGGGGGGAAACCATGCCAGAGGAAGAGGCAAAATGAGGCGACTGAAGTCAAAGGAAGAAAATACAAGGCTCTGTGACAGGACAGAAATGAGGGACAATTAGGGAAGACTTATTGCCTGGAAGATGATAATGGACAGAAAATAACAATTTTTTTCTTTCTTCTAGTGCCATCCACAAGGGCCATGCACAGGGGGTTAAATGCCAACATTGCAGTGATGTTGTTACTTACTGCCAAAGGCTGAGCCTGCAGCTGCACCTGGAAAACAAAACAAGAAGGAGCCTGGTCACTGGAAGCAGGATGTCATCAGCTCTGGTACCAGCAGAAGATCAAACAGATCCACAACGTGGGACTGAGCAGCAATTAATGAGCAGGGATCCTCCTCACAGGCATCTCAGTTTGCTGCAACATCTTAAAAGCTGCTTTTGTCAAACTACAGAGGCAAGGCCAGACAGGGCTGTCTGGGGTCTTGGCGTCTCAAGCTTTTCACCTGAAGCTTCTGACCCAGCTTGGTCCTTGCTGACAGGCTTTTCTGTTAACCATTTCCTTCACCTACCAGCAAATCTTCTGGGGTTCACAGGGCTCAGTACAAACTGTGGGGTCTGAACCAGGTTGTTGCACTTGGGGCAGTTCTCCATGAGGGAGAAGGGTTTAACACCCTTCTCACTACAGCATTTGTTCAGCCAGACACTACAAAGCCACCAGCTTCAAACCTGCCCGTTGAAGGACCTGGCTTTGGGCACCCAGGAGACTCATGGCCATGGTTCTCCCTGCTGTACCAAGTGGCTGAATCATGGAAAGTCTCAGCTTTGCACGAAGAGAAAGCACAGGACCAGTGATGGAAGAGGTAGGACTACCAAGAGAGGAGGGCTTTGGGGAACTGCTGCTATTGCTGAGGAAGAGGATGTCAGTGGGGGAAGGAAGAGGCAACAGAGAGAGTTGGGGTGGGGGGAAGGAAAAAGCCTGAATGACAGATGGGAGGGGAGACGAATGGGAGAAGAAAGAGCAGAGGAGAAAGCGAAATAGGAAGAGACACGAGGAGCGGAGGGGAGGGAAGGAGAGAGCAGCACGTCTGTGCCTGTCAGCACCACAAACTCTCCCAGGCTCCTTTGAAGCAATGCAGCCTCGTGGTGGGAGCTGACAAGCTCGTTCCCTTTCAAAGAACCTGCTCATCTACCAGCCCTGGCACACACAAAACATTCCCGTCACGGCCTTCGGAGCCTGAATTTCAGCTTTGATCATCTTAAAGCACATAAATCTTTCAAAAAATTTAGGGGGAGGAAGGGAAAAGATTCTCTTTGGTAATGCTCAAAGCTGCTGCTTGAAAGGCTGGAGTGGCTACTGTGGCTCCATGACATTTAAACAAGTCTGCTAATGTGGACTGGACAGAAACCCAGTGGAAACTGGCCCATCTGTAATGTTTTCTGCCCCAGTTCCCCTGCTGGAATGATGGTGGGTATGAATCCTTCATCTCGTCTGCATCCCTCTGCTCCTGTCAGTGCTTTGCTCCAGCAGACAACTGGATGAGCCTGGAGCTGCACACAGGGAGCACAGCTCCCAGTGCTGGCCTGGAATGCTGACACACACAGAACAGGATCCAGAAAGCAACTCCTAAAGCAATCCAGAGAGCAGCCTGCCCTCCTGCAGCTGAGCAGCTACTTGGAAGCCAGTGCTTTACTGTGGATAAATAATGTCTTCTGCAAGGGACAGGCATTTGCATGGCTACAAAGCCACAGACCTGCATCTTGGCCCAAGGTCATCCCTCCTTTTCTCAGCCATCATTTGGACTGACCTACCAGTAGCCAACAAATCACTTCTGCATCCACCCAGATTGTCTCTCATTCCTCCATGTCCTAGGTCCCAGGTACATACCAGCTTCCCATTTGAAAGCTGAGCATCCTGCACTGCTGGAGAAGGACAAGAATCCCAGGGTGGGTGCTGTGCAGCCAGGGCTGGCTGGAGGTAACTTACATGCGTTGGGGGACCCGTTGGGGAGAGGCAGGTAGGACCCTGCTCGCCAAGATCTGGAGCGAAAGTTCTTCTTGCACTTGCCACAGTCCTGCCCCGTGGTGTTGTGCTCACACTCACACTGCAGGCTGCCCTCCTTGAAGGTGCACAGGTTTGCATGGAGGTTGCATTTACACCTGGAAGAGGAAGAGAGGAGAAGAGCTGTCAGGTTTTATTCAACTCTCCCTTGCCCCTGGTGTAGTGCTGTCCGTGTGCATGAAAGTGTGGAGGTGAAGCTGGGCTGGTTCACCCTTTCCTGCTCTTTCTGCAGGAGTTTTTCAACTAATTCAGCTGTTTTCCCCAGGTATCTGGTGCTGGGGTTCTGATGTCCATGTCCTCACCCAAAGGTGGATCTGCAGTCTCTGCTCCAAGATGAGAGATGCTTTACTCCCACCACCCATGTATTAGCACAGATGGTTTAATGGTAAGTCCACACTAATGGTAAGTCAAGATCTCCACCTGAGACCCTGCTAAGGAGCAACACACTTTTATTTCTTCCAGAAATCTGAGTGATTAGCTCAGAGGTGGGGATTTACTTGGAGGCAGCGAGGATGGTCTCAAGCTTCAGATGAAGAAGCATAGCTAACGCTGGTGGGACTCAGCCCCTTGGCCCCTGCACAATGTGCTAAAGTCAAGAGTGTTTTCTCCTGTGGTGTGAAGCTGCTTAACACAAGCCCCTTTTCCCTCTGTGCAGCTCAGCCCCTGCCTGCTGGGACTGAAATAACACTGAGATTATTCACCATCAGAATCGGCCTTTTAGTCCCTGCCTGATCAGAGAAGGCAACAATGGAAAACACTATTCAGCAATTTGCAAACATTAACAAACTTTTAATGAGCTGTAGTGCAGTATGCAGGGAGTAATTATCTCTGTGCACAATAATTCCTGTTGCTCAGACTCTGGAGGTGACTTGCACAGAGCGTGGAGCCTGAGCCCGTAACTCACACGTGGCTCTAGTGACTCCTGGCCCAAGCTGAGGCCACCAGAGACTTTGTGGACCAAACCCTCTGATTTCATTCCAGATGGTGGATCTCTAACACAGCCCACTGGTTTTGCATCGTTTGATGCAATCATTTACCCTCTCAGAAGCAGAGCTGTCAGAAAACAGCACGGCTGTGCCTTCTGTGACCCGGGAGAAGCCTGACACTTGCTTTTACTGGGCTAATTGCACAGGAGATGCAGAGCTGAGGGGAACAAACCCCTTGCAAAGGAAACAGAGAAAACATGGCCAGCTCCTTCTCCTGCTCTGTGCTGGGATAAACAGCCTGGATGAGGCTGGGAGCTGGGAGCCAGCTCCCTCCCAGCTCCCTGTGCTGCGCATGCCCACCAGTTCCCGGAGCCCCTGGAGATGCTCCCCAGCCTCTTGCCTGACCCACCAAGGCCTCCTTTGCTGTGCTCCTCACGCCTGGCTGGATGAGCTGACCTCATGTATGACTTTTTTTTTCCTCCCCCTCCCCTCCCTGTCCTTAATTCTAGCAAACCCCGCTCAGAGGTTAAGCATAAGCTGGATGAACAGCCTCTCTCCCCATCTTACAACCCTGCTCTGTCTCTGACCAAGCAGGGGAGGGAATATTGCACTCTCTGGAAGGGAGGGAGGAAGAAAACGTGGTCCATGGAGCCGAGGCAGCCACACTCAACATGCCCCACTTGAATCTGTGTTAGGGAGAGCTGGAGATGCTGCATCACGGCTGAAAGCACTAACAGCCTCCAAGCACCAGGGCTCTGGGAACAAGCTGTGAATCCAGAGTCTGGGGGAAGAAAACAGCTTTGGGTGGCACCTGCACAGCAGGGATGCTGAATTCCAGCCACTCCGTGTCCCCTCTGCCTCTGGTGAGGAAGGATTTTGGCTGAGCCACCCCAGCCCTGGGATGCTGCAGAGCCTGACTCTGAATTATTCAGCATCCACCCCGCGTGGCCTCCTCCTTTCACTTCAACATGAGCAGAGGGGAACAGAGCAGGCGAGATAGTGGGTTAAAGCAGGTCAAAGCCTCCCTGCTGCTGCTTTGGGCCCAGCCTGAGTCAGAGCAACAGCTTCTGGGAGCTGCAGCTCTCCTCCCTCCTGCTGCTGGTGGGAGTGAGGGGCTGGGATTGAGGGGACAGGAACCGGCTTCAGGGTGCAGCCTTAAAATCCAGCCAAGGGAGAGGGGGGTTCAAGGGAAGGCAGGACCTGGCATCCCTCTTGTTTTCTACAGTGAGGGGGCAATGCCCTGCCCAGAGAAGACCCTCACTTCCTAATCAGTGTAAAAAAGGAAAATTAAATAAGGAGAAAGCAGAGGCAACTGGTCACCCTGCCTGCCTGTGCCTGTTCCTGCTCTTGGCCCTTTGCAACTGTGCCAAAGTTTTGTAATCCCAAGGATCAGTTTTACCAGGGAATTGCTTTCTGAGTTTGACCTTTGAGGATCATCAATCTAAGCAGAGAACTATAACCCCAGCAAGCTGACCCCACAGCACAGCCCTGCCCAGCCCAATCCATCAGGCTGTTACTTCCCAGTGAGTGGCTGAGCCCCCATTGCCAGCCCCGTTTTGTGCAGAGGTTTCTGCATCTGGGCTTCCCTGCTGCCCGAGCTTGGCAGCTCAGCCTTAACCCCTTCCTCAGGCTGCTCTGCCTCCTCCTCTGGGCCTACAGCCCAAGGACATGTGCTTGCTGATGGTCTGTGCCTTTTCCCAGCCAAGATCCATCTGGTGGAGACTGGAGTAAATGCCATTAGCCCAGTCCTCTGGGTGGGAGCTGCTCGTCCTGCTTGCTCTGCTTGTCTTCCTAGGGTGGACAACCATGGCAGGGAAGAGAGGAGGAAGAGAAAGGTCAGGAGCTACATAGTCATGAGGCTTAAATAGCAGCAGAGGGGCAGATACCTGTGCCATGTCCTGCAGAAGGCAGCAATGGCCCTGCTCCAGGCCCAGGGCTGTTCCAGCAAAGTGCTGGTGACAATATGGTCTCTTTGGCTCTGGAGGTGATCTGAAGAGCTGGGAGCATTTCTCCTCTCTAGCTCATGGGTCAAGGCTTGGAGTGATGGTGCTGTTTCTCATTTAGCATCCAGAGCCCATGTAGGATCCAGCTGTGGTGTGGCACAGCCTGGAGGAGAGCAGCCCCAGCAGGAGCTACAACACCCAAAGGTGCTGTGTGGCCTTGGGGACACCCAAATTCTGTGCTGGGCTGTCATTAGGTGCCCACCACTGTGTTCTGCATGAAACAGAAACCAGCTCAGCAGAAGGGGCTGGAGCAATGACTGGCCCTACGTGTCGGACTTTGCACAACAGGATATTTGTTTCAGTGCAGGTTGCTCAGTTGCTGCCTTCCCTGGGAGTGGTGCAGTGTGGGCTGAGGCTGCCAATGCCTCCACCAGGGAGGAGCCAGGAGAGCCAAGGAGAGTTTACAGCAAAGTGGCCCTTTTATTTTTTTTCATCTCTTTTCCTTATCTTTTTGTTGTTGTTGTTGTTCTCCCTCTCAGCCTCCAGGAGCACTTTGCCATCCCTGCAGCTCTCCAAGTCAGCAGCCTGGAGGTCAGAGCAGGGAGCGGCTGGACTGGTGTGCAGTGCCAACCCATGTGTGAGGGGAGGAGATGCCTGTGCACAGGCTTTGCAAGGGGGAGCAGGCAGGGGTAAGTGCCACAAACCTTCAGGAGCTGCACTGGCAGTGGGAGAGCAGCCCCTGACCCTGGCTTTTCATGACTAGTAACTCTTGAAATAATTTTCAAAAGCCACCCCAGACATTTGCTCTCCTTCCAAAGGTCCTTATGTGTTTTACAACCTCATTTCTGTCCATAACTCCACTTTGCAGAGCAGGGGAGTAAGGCAGAGAAAGGCTAGAGCATCTCTGAGCATGCTCCATCCCCATGCACCTCTCACCCAGCTCCCACCATGGCCCAATCCTGCCTTGTCTCAAGCTCCTTATAAAAGAGCCTGGCTGAGGACACAGGGCAGCAGAATTCCTCCCCTCCGAGTCTCCTTGCAGCCCAGTCTGCCCTCTCCTCCCCACCCTGTGCCCACCATGAGGATGCTACTGCAGAGCCCCAGGGATGCTGTGGGGACCTGGTCCCCTCGTGCTGGCTCCCAGACCACCAGGCTCCTGCTTCCCCCCCCCCCGAGCTTGGCACTGGTCCCCCCTGCTCCCTCTTGGCTCCCCGAGCTGACGGAGAGCTGCTAATGACTGTCATCCCGGGGAAGGCTTATGAGAGCTTTCCCTGAATTGTTTGCTCTCACTGTAATTGATGAGCCTTTAATGAGTCTCATGGGATGATGTGTTTGAAGGGAGCTCTTCCCTCTCCGTCCCTGAGGAAAACGATGTTTCAACTGATCTCGGCTCTCGGGGAAACATGAATAACTCTTCTCCATCTCTATTGTCATCCCCAGCCCTTGCTCACAGCACTCCCTGGCAGCTGCCTGGCCCTGACTTACCCACTTTTTTACCTGCTCCTTTGCAACTGTTTTGGCAGCTCAGCAAAAGCAGGGAGCAAATCTTTTGGGCAAAGCAGAACGGGCGCTGAGCTTGGCTTGTTTCTGGCCCATCTGTGCGTGCAGGAGCAGGTAAAAATAGCTCCTAATGGCTGGGCTATGGAAGAAACACCTTTGTGGGGTGCAGTTATATTGGGATTCACCTTGCTGGGAGCTCACTCTGGCCGGGTTTGCTGCTACCAGCGGCCAGAGCAGGGCTGGGGAAGGTGACTGTGGCTCATTCATCCCAGGAGCAGGGCTGGGAGCACAGCTGAGCCTGAGGCCCAGGGGCTGAAGAGGGAAGAAAAGCCATTTTAATTTGCTATTCCTTTCTGCTAAAACCAGGGAAAGA